TGTGTGAAACAAAAAGTCAACAATTAATGTTTTAATTTAAGTTACGCAATTTAACTTACTTAACTTATGTGACTTAAGTGACATAAGTAATGTTGTAAGCCAAATTGTGATTTATACTTAAACCTAACGAAATGTGACGTTTCTTGTTAACTACTGATTTTATTTTGAAAGTCTTACCGGATGTTGTGTATTTATTGTTTGAACGAGTCCTACACGTCCAAAAACAATGCTAAAGACCCAGGGCATTAAAAAGCAGCGACAAGAGTTCTTGCCCGAGGTGTCCGTATGTGATGAGTTGGGAGAGGAAATGTGTTGGTTTCATCTACTGTTTAATAATGTGCGCCACTTTCCCTTTTCACTGTTCATGTGATTGACAGTTACATTATTACTGACACAATGTGTTTTTTATTCTTTTTTCTTCTCATAGATATCAGCGCTACAGCACCATATATACCCCTCACAACTCTGAGCGCCAGAGGGAGAGGCAGCGAGGGCTGGTCAAACAGACCTTTGAACTGGACGAGGCTGCAGCTTCTGAGCGCCAGGACGACCAGGTAGCTGATGGTGATGTTCAAAGGACTTGTTATCTTGTTATCTCGGTTCAGTTATTTTAGGTTCATTAAACACATTTTATTGACCTAGTGTACATAAAGTGTCGCCAGGAGTAAAAACATAGAAGTTTTATCACACTCCTTTCGTGTAATACCTGGATAAAGAGATGGAGAGAATAGCCACCCAATGAAGCATGTGTGTCATTATGATGGAGAAGACAGTAGGAGTTGTAATCTGCTCAGCGAGTTGATCATATGTAGAAAGAGTAATGGATAAATGGATATACCATGTCTACTATCCATTAGTCTCCAACAGTCTCCATATGAGTCATATTAAATGGGAAATGGAATCTCCTTTTCTTACTGAAACATCTGCAGTGAACTCTTTGCCTGGAATGAAAAAACCACGTATGATCTCACCTCTCTGTCTCACTCTTCTGTGCTTCAGGATGACGCAAAGCGGCGTTCAGTCAGCCTTGATGAGACTCCTCGGGGCAGTTGGGCCTCCAGTATTTTTGACCTAAAGAACTCCTCCCCAGACGCTCTCCTGCCGTCTGTGCTGGAACGTACAGCAGCAGAGGACATGGATCACCACAACACTGAAGCACGCCTGCAGGGGCGCCATAGTGACCTCCTGGGCCTGTACCCTCCCCCTGATGAGGTTCATATTAAACCACCCTGTATCTGCCTCTGTTGTGGAACAGGTTTATCATATAAATAAGTATTCTTCATGCTATTGATCATTGGTTTAAATTAAATTATACAGTGTCTTAAAGTGAGCAACATTCACTGCCAATAAATGTCTCACTAGAGCACCAGCATCTCAGACCAGAACAAGTGTGCACTACAGCCCACCAGGCTACATTGCGAAAAACAGTAATTTTACCTAGGAGATCACTGTAAAACACACTTCATTCAAACAGGAAATAATTTGTGGCATTAGATGAGATGAGATGCTCTTCTCATTGTATTTAGAAACAACAATGGTTTGTTTGATACCAATTAAAGACCAACTTTTGCGTTTACAGCAATTGTCACTGAACAAACAGTAGCATGTAGCAGTGGAGCTCGCCACACTGATGACTGAGAGCGCTCTTATCAGCTCAGTTGTGATACACAGTACATTACTTCCTCGTTTATTAAAAGACAGCGAGAGAAACAATCGTAATGTGATAACTTCGTCGTAAATAATAGGCTGAGTTATTATCCTTATGTAGAGCGCTTGTATGGTTTTGTACTGAAGTGAATGTGACAGCTTGAGTAGCAACAGCACAGAACATTGCAGCCATATGAACAGTGATGCTTGCACTTAGTGTTGTACAAACTGACGTGCCTTTGAACAATGATGCTACTGACACACATACATAAGTGCATTTGAATGGTAATGCAACCTCTTAGCTAGGAAATAAAGTGAACAGACTGCATAGTGACTACAAATCCTAGAACACAACTGAACTAATTGATTTGTGATTTCCAGCTCTAAGCTGAACAAAATAAGTTTACAGAGTTTACAGCACCGGCCACACAGATTGATTGCAGCCTTACCACTACTTAAAACTGCAACCAGCAGAACACTCAGTTGGAAATGTTGGTCAATGTAGTTACCATTTGTTCAGAATAACCTTATTAAATGTTTCGATAAGGTGAATACCAAACCCACTTCTAGAGAATATTTTGCTTTCTTTTCTCTGTGTTCTCATTTTCTCGCTCTATCCTTCTTTCTTTATATCTGTGTACACACTGTGACTTTCTCTGCTGCTACGTTGCCATGACATCTATGTAAATGTTATGCTGGGGTGTGTGTGTGTGTGTGTTGTACATGGCTTTGTTGTCTGTGTGGCAGGATGAAGCGGTAGAGAGATGCTCCGTCATTGAGGTGCCCAAGGAACACTGTGGCCAGAGGATCATGGTCAAGTGTCTGTCTCTGAAGTGGGTAACATTTGGTATATAACTGACATTTAATGTCTTCACGCTTTAATTCATTATTGGAAATTCCTGCGATGCTCTCCATATTTAACAGCGTTACTTTGTATGTCTTTCAGGTTTGAAATAGAAATTGAGCCAATATTTGGAACACTTGCCCTATATGACGTCAAGGAAAAGAAAAAGGTATTCTTCTTGTTCCAGTAGATCTCTGTTTTTGGTACAATGAGTATTCTTCCAATGACTTTCTCTCTGTAAAACCACTTACGTAATGCTGAGCTCACGCTTAGCTAATTGAATTTCCCTTGTCTCAAAAAGGTCTAAGTGGTCTTGCGGTTTAGATCACAGAGTCCAAACTGAATTAAAATCCTTTGACGTGCTTTTCCATTATCGTCTTTACTTCCCCTCCCTCTGCTGCTTCCCGCTTATCTCAATCTTCCCTCCAACAGATCTCGGAGAATTTCTACTTTGACCTGAACTCGGATCAGATGAAAGGGCTACTAAAATCCCACACACCTCACATAGCCATTTCCACACTGGCCCGTTCTGCCATTTTCTCCATCACGTACCCTTCCGCCGATATTTTCTTGGTCATTAAGGTACTGAGAAAACCCACTTTTACACAGAATAATCTGACTTAATTTTAATAGTATAAAATAATTATTTCTTATTGGCTGATACAGAAGTTCTCTTTCCCTTTTGATTTGGCTTTTGAAGCATACTTAAACATACTTTTGATTTGAATACAACATGCAAGTCAAGTTCACATTTTAGTATGTGAGAAAAAACAAGTGCTTTAATGTGTTAACAACAGTGTGCATGTATTTCAGCTTGAGAAAGTCCTTCAACAAGGAGACATTGGAGAATGCTGTGAACCCTACATGGTCATGAAAGAATCAGATTCCTCCAAGGTAATGGAGCCAAAAATGTATTTTAAACTGTTGCAATGCTCAGGGACGACAGCCAGCATGCGTGTGGCACCCTTTTACTGTCTAGTCACAAGCATTACTCAATTCTGTCTGTGTAGCTGCAATATTTACCATGCTCTTTAGCAGGTCAGCTCTGTTGGCCCCTGCAGATATTTTAACCGTTCTTTATCTTTTAATGTTTTTTTTTATCCTGTCATTTCTACCCTTTGTCCCACTTTCAGCACAAGGAGAAGCTGGAGAAGCTTCGTCTGCAGGCAGAGCAGTCATGTTGTCGTCTTGGCCGTTTTCGCATGCCTTTCGCCTGGACGGCCATTCACCTTCTCAACATCGTCAGTAGTGTTGGAGGTCTGGATCGGTCGGACCCGGACTCTGACTCTGGTACTGCTGTCTTCAAACACGTCCGCAATTTGATACAGGGTCACACATCTACGTAGACAGAACATTCAACTAGGGACAGAAGTATTGCATAAGAAACAGTCATGCACGTGCCTCCCTAATATTATGTGGTTTTTCTTCCTGCCAGAGCGAAAAGGTCATGGTACATGGAATGAGAGAAAGAAAAAGGGGTTTGAGCGGATGAGTGTTGGGGATGACATGTGTAACTTTGCCACTTTCCGTCCAGCAACACTGACTGTCACCAACTTCTTCAAACAGGTCAGAGTCTGTCTAGTGGTAATGCTCATTTAGTAGTTGACGTTGTTACAGTTATCCTGACTCTGACGTGTGATGTAATGTTGCCATTTACCAATGATTGATATGATAATGATAAAGCAGGGTATTGTCAATGTAGTGACAGAACTAGTTCTAATAATTAAATAACAGAATTAGTTCATTAGTGATTTGAGTTTTGAGACAAGATAATACGACACAAGTTAAGCTGCATTAATAATACTTGGCCATTAACCTGGGAACAAAATGAAACGTTTAGCTTTTCTGTTCATGTGTACATGAAGGAGGGGGACAGACTGAGTGATGAGGACCTCTACAAGTTTCTGGCTGACATGCGCAGACCGTCTTCTGTTCTGCGACGACTGAGGCCTGTCACAGGTAAACGTGAAATGCCCACATAGTCAAGATATTTATTTGAAATTGTCTGAATTCATATAAAAAGGTTTATGGGGGATTAAGAGTTTTTCTGTCTTGTTGTGTATCCATGACTTATTTTGTCCCTCAGCCCAGTTGAAGATTGACATCTCTCCAGCTCCGGACTCGCCTCATTACTGTCTGTCACCAGAGCTGCTTCATGTGAAGCCTTACCCGGACCTGCGTGTTCGCCCAACCAAAGAGGTGCTGGAATTCCCTGCTCGCTACGTATACACACCGCACACCACGTACAGGTGAGAGTTCACCTGTCACAAACACACACTGCAAGTTGACCTTTAGAACAAATAAACATTCACCCTTTGCTGCATGCATGGCTTACTGTGTTTGTTTAGATATTCAGTTTTTCTGCTGAAGTAAATAGGACAACAGGTTCTGAATGTCAAATTGAAACGCATAAATATTGATGTCATTATTTTGTAAAATATAAATACAAAAACAAGCACTTATCTTTGAGTTTTCCTGTATGTGTGTGTATAAATAACTCAAGATACTGTTTGGTGACATAAAATCTTTAATAAGTTAACAAATTAATTTGAATGGCTCTTTTTAATAACACGAGTTGCAACACCAAGGACATAATCACAAGAGTACTAACAAAAAATATTTTCTGGATATACGGTACATCCATAGCATACATAGCAGGGTTGGAAGGGAGTGCAGTGATGTTAGAGAGTTTAGATCTGGATGAAGTGAGAGAACTCAGAGATGAATCTTTAAACAGCTATGTCATAGCTTCACTCTGGAAGAAGGAAATAAAACAGTACATTTATCTAAATGAAGACATCCAAAGTTCAAATGTTGATCTAACATTTTAAACAAGTGACTTACCATCCTCAGCAGCTTGGAGAGCTGCTCATTCTGGGTCTCAATATTCTCTTTTTGGAATTGAGTCAAATGCTGTAGCCCTTTTAAGATATTAGAGTGCTCCTCTGCTCTCTCCTAAAAACAGGAATATAGTTTAAGTAACGTATTTACTTAATATGTCAATAAATCAGCAACTGGCGTTCAAAAATGGAAAGTTGCCTAGTGCCTTTTAATCAAAAGTCACTGTTGGCAGGCTAGTGTTGACAGACCAAACCTTGAAGTAGGGTTGTTTCTTCTATCTATAAATTGTAACTAGAGAGAGGTTTTCGGCTTCTGGTTACCTGCAGCTCTTTCATGTTGGTGGGTACGAAGTTGTTGAGATACACCTCCAACCTCTTCACTTTTGTTTTTAGCTCCACCTCTTCCTGCTCCATCCTGGCCAGCCAGTCTTTAGTCATCTTGGTCTGAGTCTGTTGCTTGGCCATCTGGGCCTGTCAAAAAGAGCATCTGCCCATATTATCCTCTTCCCTCAACATTGATCCCAGTGCAGCTGGCAGCCGCATGCCCCACCGTGGCATGCAGCTTTCTAATGACACTCTCACTCTCTTATCTCAGATAAGAGTTGGATTCATCCATAAACATCAGCAAAAAATTGAGGGATCATATGCTGATCATGGGTCCTATAGAAACGTAAGAGTGAGCTTCCCAAGCATGAATAGTTACATAGGGTTTAATGTAGACATAGCGTAGACATTGTTGTGTTGTTTAACATTTGTTGCAAATCAGCAAAGATCTGCTTTATGTCTCTTCAGCAGTTGTTTCTCCTGAGAGCTGAGAATCACAGTAGTGTAATGTGATGGGGACATTGGATACTAGACTACTACCTCTATCTTCCTCTGCTCCTGCATGTGTTGCCTTTAAGATCTGCAGTTTGATTATAATTCTCAGTGGTTATCTCTCTTGTAACAACACAACTATTCAACAGCATGCAGGGAATTCGTTGTTTACATATTTGTGTGTTCTCTTACCTGTAGCAACTGTATAACTTCTTTCATGTGTTTCTCCACCTCTGCCGCCTGCTCAGTCTGCCTCCCCAGCGTTTGAAGAGTCCCCTCATGGATCTTCAAAGCCCGGCTGATTCTCGCTATCTTTGCCTCAGTGGTTTCATAAACATAGTTGAGGGATTCGCTGAACTGTATCACACCAAACATGAGCACGTTGACTTCTTCCTGTGGTGCAGCTTTGTCTTCCATCTTGCCAGTCCTGACCGGACCTGCATGGACTGCTCTTAAACCACCGGCCAAACAAAGCAGGCAGAGGCCCCAGATTACCTTCATGATACCAGTCGCTTGCAAACTCGCTGTAGTCTAGTGTCTGTTTCACTCAGTTGTTCAAAGATTTTTGTTTCTTTTTCAACAATTCAGCAAGTTAATGAGACAGTTTGATTGATGTAAAATATCGCAAATGGGAAGGAAGATAAAATATGTATTTGTCTGTTACAGCTGTGCAGAAGTTAGCATCATCAGACCGAATCCAGTGGATGATGAGTTTTGAGAGTGGTCAGAGTGCCTTATATTGGATATGTACATGCAATACCATGGTAAAACATTAGCTAAACTGTGGTTCAATGACAGGTCTTCTCCGTGGCCTTAGTCTCAGTGACCTTGCCTTGAAGTTTAACCCCTAAACTCATTTTCTCATTTAGACATGCATAACAATGTATGTAGCACTCTTGCGTTTGTCACAAGAAATGTATGAGCAGTATCTCAATCTGCTCAGTAAGTTTTATTTTATTTAATTTTAAAGATATGGGATTTTGTGGCACGTCATTGCCTTTAGACAAGTGGATAAAATCAGCTGTTTCAAAATATGAACAACAGTTGCCTCTAATGTTTGAGTTGGATAGGAGAAAGGTGACCTACACCTTGCAAATACAGTACTGGATCACACTCTTCCCATGTGCTCTCTGAAACTCTGATGCAAAGCGATGTGTGATATCAAGCTGAAACCGTGGTGTAAAACCACCTCCCCACGACTACCATGTTATGATTGTGGTTGTTATGAAGTATATATAGTATTAGTACAATTAACAAACAAACAATTTTCAATAAAGGCTTTGGCTTTTTTTTCGGTCCTTGTCATCTTTCCTCGTTCTCATTCTCTGCTTTGTGTTATTTTGCCTTTCAGGAACTTGCTTTATGTTTATCCACAAAGTTTGAACTTCAACAGTCGTCAGGGCTCAGTGAGGAACATTGCTGTGAAGGTTCAGTTCATGGCAGCAGAGGACCCCAGTCCAGCTTTGCCGGTGAGTCACAGTCAAGGATAAACAAGTGACATGACTGCGATGTTCTAAAGAATATGAAATTCCTGTAACAAAGAACTTCTTGAGGCAGTGAAATACGATATGCTGTATTCTTCTAAGAGTGAACTTATTCAAAGGGGCAGGGTTTTTTGCCCTGAGGAAAGGAAAGTCTAGTTACATTTAGTGGGTTAAATCTTTCGTGTTATAACTCTGATTTAATTTTGTTTACTGAATATCAAATGGCTGAAAAGACAGTATGGCATGCTTCCCTAAAGTGATACACCCAAAATCTAACATTTGAGTATCAAACACTCTACCCCAGTAAACTTGAAAGGCTAAAACTTGTAGTTTGCATATTTTTGGGGTGGCAAGTCAAAGCAGAAATGGTATCAAAAACATCCATATAAACTTCTGAAAGCTGTTATGTCTCCAACACAATCCACTTCCTCTGTTGTCCACATGCTTAGTACATTCAAAAGACTCAATTTTGCCAAAACATTGTTAAATATATTTTTGGGGGGTTGCAGTCTTTACAGCCACCTTTCAAGTCAACAGTTGTTCGATACTCAGAATGTTAAAGTTATTGCCCTGTGTAAATATGTCTTCATTTTATCAATGCAGATAACAGAAGTAAAAAAATATTATTAGTATGCCTATTAGCTTTTTGGACAGTTTTGATTAGGTAAGAAGTACATAAATGATTGCAATGAACTTTTCTTTCCTCTCCACTGTAAAAACAATGTCATTGAGTTTATCACTAGGAGGGTGTCTGTAGTAGTTTAACATTTTAAGTGAACAATATTTCATACATTCATGGATTCATAAAATGAAGGAATCAAGTGTTTTTTGTGTGTGGAAAAAAATGATCACGCGCTAATCATTATTCCAAGTATTATATCTTTTAACGCATGTCTGGAGGGTATCTTCAAGGTTTAGTTTTTTTGGCTTTCATGACTTTTAAACTCAAATCAGATATAAACGCTGCAAAAGTGCTATTAATTTTCAAAGAACCAGGGTTGTAGATAGAAATGAAAATATATTGACGGTGACATTCTTTAAATTGTTGACTGCATTCATGATAGTTATGTCAAAAAGGTTCCCCCTATTGGTTAAGGAACAATCATATTTATTCTTTGCCGTTTGACCAGGTCATCTTTGGGAAGTCAAGTTGTTCCGAGTTCATGAAAGAGGCGTACACTCCTATCATCTATCATAACAAGTAAGGCTCACCTGTTGTACCCCCTCGCTATTGACCTTCCACTGGAGTCTGTCCAACTTCTCTTATTTCACAGTGTCTTCCTTAAACATTGTGTGTAACTCTTGCTTGAAAGGTGTCCTGAGTTCTATGAGGAGATAAAGATGAAGATTCCCGCCAATCTGACAGACAACCACCATCTGCTGTTCACCTTCTACCACATCAGCTGCCAGCACAAACAGAACACTCCTCTGGAGACCCCTGTGGGCTACACTGTGAGTACACTCCTGCTGACCCACATTTAATACTTACACCCACACACTTGCTTGTTTGATAGCTCCGTCTTTTGTCTTGCCATCGGTGAAAGATCGTGTGTCTCTTGTTTTCTGCCTGTAGTGGATACCTCTGATGCAGCATGGCAGACTACGCACCGGCTCTTTCAGTTTGCCTGTCTCAGTGGAAAAGCCTCCGCCTAGCTACTCTGTACTCACCCCTGACGTGAGTGTGTTTAAACATTGTATTGAAACCCTTCACTGAGATTGTATGAAATATCAGTTTGCCTGTCATTACCCGCTCCTTTGTGATATGACTGTGTGTAAAAAGAGTTGGATGTCACTATGTTGCAGGTTCAGCTCCCGGGCATGAAGTGGGTGGATAATCACAAAGGAGTGTTCAATGTTGAGGTGACAGCGGCCTCGTCGGTTCACACACAGGTACACAAATATGCTTTATTTATTGTAGCTTCTGCCTTTCCTTTTCCCTCCCAACATTAAAAACTCTTTTGGCTCTGAAATTGTAATTCATTATTACTAATAGCATCCATTGTTTTCATCTATCGTGAATGTCAGTGGCCTTCTTTTTCTGGAAAGAAAATAAAACTAACATTACTAATATTACGAAAATTAAGATACCAACAACCCAGAAGTTGTTTTTACAGTGTACTACTTTATTACTGGTCCGTAGGCCTGCATATACTATCAGCGGTGTACGCATTAAATGTCGGAACACTTTACATTCACTAAATCAATGAGACCCTCAATGTTGTCTATTGGCTTTTCAACCGTATTAACTCAATTTTATTGCAAAATTGCTGCTAGTTTAAGATTACCCAGCTCAAGTGATACTTAATATTCATTCTAGGACCCCCACTTGGATAAGTTCTTCACTCTTGTGTATGTTCTGGAGGAGTACTCCTTCCCCTTCCGCCTGAAGGACGTCATCATTACAGAGGCAAACATGGAGGGGGAGCTGAAGGCCAGCATGGCTGCTCTGAAAGGGGCTCTGCTGGATACCTGTGTCAGGTTTCTGCACCAGCTGCTGAACAAGCTTATTCAGCTGATCGTCTACCCACCGGTCATTGCGGGCCAAATTGGTAAGCTATTGGACAAGTATACTACTTGAGATTTCAAGTGCACTTTTTGAAATTAAGGCTAAAATTGATAATTTGAGTATATAATGTGATGATGATTAATAATTACTGTTCTTTATTATTTGGGCTATAGAAATGTACTTTATTATCACACTGTACATTTCAATCTTTCTAATTTCCAACTTCAGTGACACACAAGACAGGACAGCAGATATGATAGGTGCCAATATACCTATTTATAAATGCATACATTTGTGTTAATGTTTATGGCTTATGTTTAATGTGTGAAGCATAAATTATGCCAATTTAAAATTACACTCTACGATTATGCTTTTTTTGCCCGACCATAGTGTTAGGACGTTTTCACACCTATAGTTTGTATTGTCTGGTCTGAATCACTTGATGAGTAATTTTACAAGTAAATTTAGTAAATGTTCAGTGCCAAAACCTATTTTTCCCTTGGTTCGGTTTCTTTTTAGTGCAATTACTGTGTTCACACCTGCCCAAACGGATCTGCTCCAAGGCGGAAAACAAATTCAGTCAGATTTAACCGGACTAAAAAACACAGGTTTGAAAACCACTTTAAGCTTTGCTTCTTGCTGCTCTCACACTTAATTTATTTACAGTGAACCTCGGCCGGACTGCCTTCGAAACTATAGCTTTATTGGTCAACCAGATCCACAAGAATTTGGAGGGAAATCAGGACCAGCACGGCCGCAACAACCTGCTGGCATCCTACATCCAGTACTGCTTCCGCCTGCCAACCGCTGAACCCGCTCCACCACCTACAGGTGAGTCGCTAGTCTGAACTTTACCGTCTGTATCTGAGAAGCAGAAAAACTGCCTGCAGTCATTTTATTGGGCACATTGCTGCTGACTTGCTAATATCCCCCATGTGACACCTCTATTCATCCATCTCAATGAGTAGCTGGCACGCACGGCTACGAGATGCCTATGCAGTACGCCACCTTATCGAGAGCAACAGCCCGCCCGAGCAGCCTGCACCTGTCCCGCTCCAAGAGTATCAGCAACTCCAACCCAGACTTGGCGAGCACACCAGTTTCTCCTGACGAAGAGGTGCAGAGGATCATGGGGAGCAAGGTGAGTTGCGTCTATCTTTTGAAATGAGTCATTTTTATTAGAGCTATGAGACTATTGCTTTTGTTAGTGTATTTGGATGTTCAGGAAAAGCCTTTGTAATTTTGAAAGTCATGAAAGTAGCTAAATACTTTATATTCAGTTTTAGAACTTAAAATGATGCACCAATGTATTGGCTCTAATGTGTGTGTTCTCGTTTGCATTTGTTGTTTAATTTGCACATTTATTGAATTTGCAAATTGACTCATATGTTATCTGTCTAGCATTAAAGGTCTTATTGGTTAATAATGAATACCCATCTTGTTATACCCCATTTATCCCCTTGTGCCCTAATCCCACTTTTTGTTTATCCACTATCAGTCATTTATTTTGTCTCGACTCTTGACTTGAAGCTCAGGTTGACTGAAAACTCTGTGCCAACAGTTAATGATGTTGCTTATCTCAACAGTGCAATAATGCTTTGTGCCTCTGTCCCTTGTGTTTCATACAGTACCCCCAGCCCTTCCTTTTTTCTCCCCTTCAGCTTCACTTTTCTCCACACCCCTTACTTTTGTTTCTACCGAGTTTTATCCTTGAAATAATCCTG